AGAAGTGTGGTCAAGAGCTTTTCTAAGGTGAGAGTTTACGCTGAAATGGATTTAGTAGTTCAATTTTTTGTTACTTTTTAACGTGTTATTCATGAAAATCGTGGTTGACAAGTATCGTATTTTCTTTAAAAATTAATAAGATCGGACTAAAAGCAATGGACTTTGTCTACACCCACCCGGAGTTTGATCAGTCAAGTTATTAAATCTACCACGCATGGTACATATTATGGAATGTAATACCCTTCCAACTAAAATTGAGTGCCTATGAAATGTAACAATTTGGAATAAAAAATTTATGTCACCCACATTCTCCATGAGTAAACTCTAGAATCTGATGTAAATTCTTAGGATTATTGCTGTAAATTCTAGAATTCTCTAATTCTATAAAACTTCTGAATCAATCCGAATACATACACAAAAAGGAAATCTATTGCAATGTTCTTCTTCCTCATGCACCTTTCGATACTTTTAGAATTGGCCGTTGTGCCCCCGGGACACAGCTCAACTGGTGGATCAATCAACATTGGCTTACTTCCAGCGGCAGAGTGGAGAGTTCGATTCCCAGCGGGAACCTGCGGCCAAAAAATTTGGTATGGAGCAACCATTGTGGAGGAGGGTCTCTTGTGCGCAGAAGTGTACAGTTAATGGAGGGAACCTGTGATCCAGTTGAGGCATAGCCCGCGATTTACCCCCTCCAAGGTTCTAGGGGTATGGGTCTTGGAGGTTCAGGATTTAGTCTGGTGTAAGTTGGGATACCTGGATAAAAAAAAAAAAAAAAAAAAAAAAAAAAAAAAAAAAAAAAAAAAAAAAAAAAAAAAAAAAAAAAAAAAAAAAAAAAAAAAAAAAAAAAAAAAAAAAAAAAAAAAAAAATTATTGGCCGTTGTTATGAAGATATAATTAATGACCAATTGACGATAATGAGTGCTTGGATTTGAATTTCCGTTGCATGTTGATCTTGGGAGTAAGTTTTGGAAATTGTACTTATGGTTTCATTACGTATATTATGTAGTATTTTTTATATAAGTTCAAATATATAGTATTTTTATTTTTAAGTGATGTAAATACGATGTTTTTTCTCAAAAAGATATTAACTTTTGGGCCCTCAGCAATTTTCTATAATTAATAAAAAATCTAATCAAAGAAAAAATAGTAAGAAGAAGGCATGCAATGCAAATTTTAATATACTATCAATGTCGGATATTATGATTAGATAGGTATCAAGTTTTTGAACGAAATGTTTTCTACTTCACAAAAAATTTATAAGAATGAGTGGTCATACATGACGTTCTCACGACATCCCTTTGATGTAGCGTTTCCCTAATTTTTCTAATTTTACACACACTAAAACGGTGGCTTATGTTGGTTGTCGCATTTTGCTGGAACCAATTGAACTACCTACATTTGGGGCCTGATGCTTGTAATGTAATTTGAATTTAAAAAAAAAAAAAACAAAAACAAAAACAAAAAACAAAAGAGGTTCCTTTTTATGCATAATACATTTACACTTAGAGCACTCCATATTCCATAAATTGTATCGCCTACAAGGAGTTAAAATTTGCTGTTCAAAATTGGCTATCCAACTTACTGTCCATCAATGATTAATTGACATATTATTGGACACCTATTTTTAAATACATGTGTTGATGAAAAGTAGAACATATTAATTTAAAATGAAGTGTCGATGAATAATTGGGTGGACAACAAAGTGGACTGTTAATTTTAAACAGCAGATCTCAACTCACATACAAGCCCCTCAACCTACATATATAATCAGTTATGTAATATTAGAGGCCAAGTGCTTTTCTAAGGTGAGAGTTTGCGCTGAAATGGATCTAGTAATTCAATTTTTTGTTACTTTTAAGCGTATTATTCATGAAAACCGTGGTTGACAATTATCGTATTTCCTTTAAAAAATAATAAGATCGGACTAAAAGCAACGGAGTTTGTCTACGCCCGGAGTTTAATCAATTGAAAGATAATTACAAATCAATCATGACAAATGAAATTTATAGAATCCCACTAAGGATGATACAAATACAATAACTTGGAGCTTTACATGCACAAATATGTAGTCGAAGTTAGCATAACGACACCTCATTTTCTTTAACAATTTGATAATTCAGCCCATAACTTCTATGTGCATTAAGAAAATTTATGTACGAAATCCGATTATATTTAAAATTCATGATGAAAATGCAACAATAGAGTTATATTTTAAGAAAATACCAGTCATTTATATTTGCATCTTTTAGCAAATAATAATTCATGGTATCAATTGGTACCCTTATTTATATTTTATAAAGACATTTTCAGAAAAGTATTATCTTATCGATTTGTCGAAATTTTGATTTTTTTATTGGCTCAAGGACTATGTAATTTTATATAATAGCAATTATTAATTTATAGATGTTATATTATATTCTCGAGTTCATATGAAATGCCATGGGAGCGAACCATTCAAGTCATTCAAGATGAACTCATTCAAGAAATCAACATTTGAATCTCAATATTTGTCCAGCCAAAATACAATTAAGAGTTTGTGACATTACTAGGAAAGTTTTATGTGATGTTAAATATAGGTAGAATCTACGTAGAATATGAATTATAAAACACACAGCATGTAAAAATGACTATATAGTATATGTTCTAAAATGGAAAATTATGTTATCGAGTAAAGTTTATTCATCTATTACATCATGGATCAAACAAAGCGAAGCCGTCAGGTAAGAATCAGCGTAACAACAAAGACCACATAGCCTTTCAGCACTGAGGCTATGTGATCAAAGAGAAGAAATTGAAACTAATTTGAATAGTATTAAACGTTGTCCTAAAAGCGTTATTTCTTCCCTTTTCTTGAATTTGAGATGCTTTAAGAACTTTAAGCAAATAGCCTTAGCAGATTCTCCAAATAATCCAGATTGCGAAGAAAATGAACTTTGGAAAAATCCTATAAATTCATGAGCTTTGGTTCATAAATTTTGAGGACGCTGATGTTTTCTTTCTCATCAATTTCTGCCCATATTTATATTGAGTAATCACTACAAACACGAAAAGGCACAATGGATGAAGAGGCATCCAAAACTAAGAGACGGGGCGGCTCATCTTCCAATATTTGAACAAATTTCTAACAGATACCAGATTGAACAATGCTATATATATGGCAGCAAATCACAGGAAAACACCAATTCCGTTAAAAAAATCTGTACTTGTAAAGTTTTTCTAGCAGATTTCTCGAACCCCAACACCGTGTCATCTAGCCTTCTATAATTATGTATAAACGAAATCCAGGTGGCAGAAAAATAATTAAAAGAAAGAGAGAAATTCGTTGGCTTTCATAGATGAAATAAGTCAAATAACCCATTAAACGCAGCAAGGAAATAACGAAACTAAACAAAAAGAAATGGGGTGAGAGAGGCTCGAACTCTCGACCTCAGGATCACTCAATAGCTATGAGACCTACGCGCTAGCCAACTGCGCCACCACCCCTGGATGTTTTCCTATGGAGAACTTTTATATTTAATAGAAGAATATTAATAATCGTTAACCCCCAATCCCTGGTAATTTCATTTCAATCATTCTATATTATTTTGTTTTGTTTTGTTTTCTTTCGAGATCAAAAAATTACATGATCAGTAATTACTTTAAATATATATATGTATGTATGTATGTACTAGATATATTTTGTATAGGAAGAGTCAAATTGTATTTAATTCCAAAATGGACTTGGTTATTTATTCATCAAGCTAAAGCTCAAACTCGAACCTCAAACTTTTGTCAACGGTTTAGTTTGTTAGTTAATTTTACGAGTGATACAGAGTTTTAAAGACTCTTTTGCTGTTGCTTCACTTTAAATATATCTGCATTCATATTGATGTTTATCTTCTAATTTGCTCTGTTTGTGTGTGTGTGTGTTTTTTTTTTTTTTTTAATAACTTAAAATGATGATAGAAGGATGAGTGGTTGGTGTAATTAACAGTGCCATCAAGTGACATCACCAAAATTTCCAAATCGTTCCATAACTAATATTTTAAAAGAGAGAAGATCGTAATTGAGAGAATAAGAGGATAAAAATGCTCGGAGTTGAGGAATTTGGGAGAAAGGTACAATTTGAAAAATGAATTCATGACATTGGACATGCATGCATGGAGAAATTGGCAACCCTCAATTTAAATTCGAGAGAAATTTCTAATAAAAAAATGCATTAAACTACTAAAAGCCACCGTTGGGTACGTTCAATTTATTATTGGAAAGTTTCAAAAACAATTTATAAATGGCTATGAATAATAGAATAATGTTATTTGCAGTCACTTACTATTTCAATCGTTTTACGTAGTAATTAGTGATTTAATATATGAGAAAAGAAAAAAACTATCACGTTAATACATCAAATCACCGATCTATGCTAATATTTCAAAATTACAATTATGAACAAATACTCAACAAAATTTCATGAAATCAACCACTTTCTATTAACATTTTGCTATCTAATAATCAATACAAAATATTAAAATAAATCGACGAATCTCGTTTCTGAGAGACCAATCTATTTTAGGAAGAAATTACGTGGTGTAATTGTGGAAGATGAAGTTTAGAACAAACTTCCAGGTTTATCAATTTAACTTTTTCTTGAAGTTAGTCCTCTTGTATTACTTTCATTTAATTTTTAATTGGATATGTATACCAAGCTCTTCGGTAAATTACAAAAAATATATAAGACTGAATTAGTTAAATACTATTTATAGTCATCAGCGATGACCATTATCACCGGCAACAAAATTATATTATATTAAATTATAGGTTCAATTAAAAATGAATTAATCTAGATCTACATCTTACTTTACATTATGGTTGACATTTCCCCATGTGGTATAATCTGGGTAGTGATATGAAAGGCGTTCAATCATGCTACAAGTAAAGAAAATTTTAACAAAATTTTTTGATAGACAATACATGGAGTGAAATTATTGAAAAAAAAAAAAAGGCTAATTAGATTTTGTCACGTTTACATCTGTATGAATTCAATAAGAAAATCCCTGTACTTGAAGCTTTTTCTTATTGGATATATCATTTAATGTCATCAAGTCATCAAAACACGATGATCACCAGTGAAGATAAATAACATTACTTGAATTAACATGATAAAGACTTATTGTTATAATATGTTGCTGATATCGAGTAAAACACATATTTATTGAAATAAATAGGCCGATGTCAGAGTAGAGAGAAGCGGAGCAAGGGCACGCGTCGAACGAGACGAACCGAAATTGTGTGTATAAATTATAAAACGCCAAGTCGCCAACTCATTAGACCGCCATCAGCCATGCTACATCTGAATGTATTCAAACCTCGAAACTTGCAGTCTGATAACTGGACATTTCTTTCAACAAAAAATCATGTTTGCATCTCGTATGACGACGTGTACAAAAATCCGGAAACTAATCAGCGTCGGTTCTAGTGTCGCGGTTTCGCATAGCTATTCTTACAAGAACACCACTATATATTATCAAAGATACTGCCAGCCCCACTCCGCCACACCCAACCATGGCAGAACCCTTAAGAAATGAAACCCACCACGAGTTTGAAAGCTTCCACAGGTTCTTTGAGAGCTGGCTCCTCGAGCAAAACCAGTACCTGCAAGAATTGGTGTCCGCTTCAAGGACAATCCAGGGAGAGGTAGATGAGAGAATTATATGGTCTCTGGTTGAACGTGTGGTTAACCATTACGAGCATTATTACAGGGCTAAATCCAGGTGGGCTAAAAATCATGTAATGTCCATGTTTACTCCGTCGTGGAGGAGCAGTCTTGAGGATGCTTTTCTATGGATTGGAGGATGGAGGCCGAGCATTACTTATCACTTGTTGTATTCAAAGTCAGGGTTACAACTCGAGGCCAGAGTCGCTGAGTTGATTAGAGGACTCAGCACGGGTGACTTGGGAGATCTCTCTCCAAATCAGCTATACCAGGTGAATGAATTGCAGAAGAATACTATAAGAGAGGAGAGGGATATTACTGAGAAGCATGCCAAGTTACAGGAGACTGTGGCTGACACGTCCACGGTGGAGCTGTCCCATGTAGTGACAGAGTTATTGAGGGAGGAAGAGCGCGCCAGTGCGGTGGAGGACGGCCAAGTCGAGGCAAATCTGACTTCGAAGGAGAACCGTTTGGTGGAAGTTATGCAAAAGGCTGATGATTTAAGGCTGAAAACTCTCAAACAAGTGGTTGAAGTTCTAACTCCGGCCCAGTCTGTCCATTTCTTCATTGCCGCAGCGGAGCTGCACTTGAGGGTTCATGAATGGGGTAAAAGGCTTGATGCCCGGAACAACACCACCAACTCGCCGAACATGGCAAATGACAATGGCCATAGCCAGTAAACACTTAGTTATTTGTAGCTTTTTTACTGTTTGTTTGCTTGTTCACAAGTGTGAGCTTTTTAGGTGTGTTTTCTGTTCCATTCCACAAATATACATATCATCAAGATTCATGTTATCAATATATAATATACTGCTGATGTTCAAAGACTGCAAAATTGAAAGGGATATGGAAATTGCTGATATATAACTCAAAAGTCTTACACTATGTGGATGGCTCTTAGGGCAGGGCTAACTACACAAAACCAGAATACTAATGCTACAAGCTCTGTGCGCGTACCCCGCTTTATTCAACACCCAAAAAAAAACAAAACAAAAAAACAAAGTAACAAGGAACCTGCTAACAAAAGCTCTCATTGGAAGCAAAGCCTGGCATAGAGAAAAAGAAGCATGTTCGCTTTATTCAACACCCAAAAAAAAAACAAAAAAAAAAAAAAAACAAAGTAACAAGGAACCTGCTAACAAAAGCTCTCATTGGAAGCAATGCCTGGCATAGAGAAAAAGAAGCATGTTCGCTTTATTCAACACCCAAAAAAAAAAAAAAAAAAAAAAAAAAAAACAAAGTAACAAGGAACCTGCTAACAAAAGCTCTCATTGGAAGCAATGCCTGGCATAGAGAAAAAGAAGCATGTTACAAAAGAAGCTTGGACATAAATACACAGGTTTCTTTTTCTCAAATTTACGCATTGGATCAAAAATAAAATGATAATAATAATCTAAGGTTACCTCTTCATAGTTCATCCTTAGCTGAATTTGAATATTCAGTTTCAGATTTGGCAGACTCAGGTTCGGCCGAGTCAGCTTGAGCAGACTTATCCCGATTTTTCTGAACAAAGTCAATAATGTCCTCTTTTGTTCGCTTCCCTTCATACTGCTTCACGTCACCATTTGCAGATCGGAAGTACATAGTAGGGTATCCGTGAACTTCGAAGGTGCCACTTGGGATATCATTTGCAGTTGCATCCTGAGAAGAGATTCCGAAGATTAATACTGAAAATTTATCTTTTCCTCAACAAGAGGATGAATGGGGAGAGAGAAATCGTGGTAACATAAAAGAAAATGAGCTGATAAAAATCAAGAGACTGAGGAAAACTTTACCAGTTTCGCAATCATGATATCGGAATCATTTGCAAAGGAAACAGCAACTTCATCCAAAATTTGAGCCAACTCCTTGCAGTGTCCACACCATGGTAGATAAAACTCGAGCAGAACTATAAGATTTAAGCAAAAAAAAAAAAGTCCAAAATGAAATAGTAAAAAGTAAATATGTCAGTCCCTCTAAGAACACTAAAAGATAAATCTTGAGCTGTTGCAGAAAAGCATTTCGGATTCATAAGAGAGGGAGCGTATTGGAATTTTAGCCCTTTATTTCGTCTAGTTACAAGAGTTACTCTGCATTTGATGAAAATAAAATGTGCATGCAATTGGCTATTCGACTATTAATTTCAAACTTCGAACTTAATATGAACTTGGACGGAATGCTATTGAAAAATATTAAAAAAAGAGAAAAAGGGAAAAAAAAAAATTTGTGTATTGCAGAATATACATATGATGGGCGACGAAAATAAAATCTGGATACCAGATAAGAAAATATGAAATCTAGCACGAACCATTCTTTCCGGAGTTAAAAACCACGTCTTGAAGGCTGTCAGTAACAACCACCTTAACAGGTTCATCGTTGACTTCAGGAATAGGCTCCGACTTTATGAATGGCTTCACCTGGCCATTCTGCAACAATTTCAAGGAAAAACCAAATGATCAAATTTGTCCCAACACTAACAAGACCCATAATTCTAAACACAGAAGTTAACATTGAAAAGCAAATAATTGCAGAGTCGAGGCTTCCAATATATAAACGAGGTTAAAGGTTACAATTCAGAAAAAGTGTTTAATCATCATAAACAACCGTCAAAAATTAAAGAATAAGTATACCAAGTAATCTTTGAGCCATGGTGCAATCTGAGCAGGTTCGATGTTTGCCTTGAGGTACTTCTCTCCATCAGGTTTCTGAATAACAAGAAGGGGGACCTGGTCCTCTTTAAGTCCAAAGTACTGCAAGCCGGACGACATTCAGGTCAAATACAATTTCTCTCGTTCAAAAAAAAAAAAGGAAAATGAGTGAGAAAGTGACAACCTCGAAGGCACGTTCACTGGCTTCAAGGTCACCCAACAGAAAGCTTATACCCGTCTCTTTGGATTGCTTGGCAATATCCTTATATGTTGACTGGAAAGAATCAAGCTCTTTGCTGAAGTTCACAAACAGCATTGCCTGTACACGTCAAATTACTAATTAGAACAATATATTCGTGGGATAATTTACGAAAAAAGCAATTCTCAAAGGAAGTAAAGCTAGATCTTGTATTCAACAAGTTACAATTGCTATAAAACTTCAAAAAGCATAAAAATGCTTCCTCGTGTAGAATATTATAGGATATGCAATTATGACAAAATCAATGGACATTGCAGAGTTACAAGGACCAGAAACACGTATACGTGGAAAAGAAGTTTTAACTGAAATCCAAGGGTGTTGCTACAAGATTTTTGGTTTTTGCATTGGAGCAGAACAACAGGGGAAGTTGAAACTTGAAAGGTCGATTTCATTTATAAATTCGAGTTCAATGGAAATTCTATTAACTCACCTTTCAAGAGAAACTTATCAAACTTACACATGATATTGCAGTTAGTTGGCCCACCAGTTGTAAATTGTAATAGAAATAGGATAAATAATATGATTCATTGAAACAATTGTGCTAATTACGACTGCATAACAAGTGCATATGATCACATATTAAGTGGGTTGTCTCAGAAAAATTATTACCTTAATGCACACAAGTTAGCATAGACATTGGATAACAGTACGATCCATTGAAATATTTGTATTTACTATTGCATAACAAGTGCATATGGGGGCCTCCAGTTATGAATACAAAGAGGCTGAGTACCTTAGCATTAGGATTTTCGAAGAATTTGTTAACATACGGATGATTGATTGGGTTGTCATCAAAAATAGTCACAATGGGAATGCTAGCTTCTTCAATAAATTTCTCCATTGCATCAACTTGAAAATCCTGCAATAACAAAGAAGTGACACTGTAAAGATAAAACAAACCAAAACGTAAAGGTAAAAGTCAAAAGGTAGAGTCCAAAATAAAACACTAGGGTGGAGAAAAGGAAGGGGAAAAATACAATCTTGCAATACCTGGAAATCAACAAGCAGTCCATCGAAAGGCTTCAGCAAGCGAAGAGTTGGCCTCTGCACTGATTCACCCCGAGGAAGGAGTTTGGCATCAAGAGTGTGTCCAAAATCATAGTCAGATCGCAACTTTTCAGCTAAAGCCGTAAAATTCTCAAATTCCTCCCCAGCAAATTTTGGGAACACCCCAGCCTAGAATAAGATATATGAATATAATCTCCAAATCGCGTGCAGTTAACCAATAAACAAAATTATATTGAAAAAAGTTAGTGATTTACAATAAAGATATTTTTCTCATCTATAAGACCGCCAGCATCTTCCTTCGATTTAATTTCAGAGGATGGAGGACCAGCTTGTTTCTTCAAGTAATCAACTATACCATCAGCCTCACGAGGGCCTTTGTATTCTTGAATGTTCTTCCCACCTTTTCTTACGATCTTAATAGTGGGGAAAATCTGGATCTCAAATTCTGTTGCTAATCCTAAGTTCGCTTCTTCATTGGCATCAACTTTTGCTAGAACGATAGGGGGGTCATGGCTGCTTAATAACAATGCAGCTTTCTCGTACTAAAAAATTTTTGAAAAGTGACGAAAGACAATTTAGAAAAATTATACAAACATAAAAAGAATGTATTCGGGGTTTGTAATGGCGGAAATGATTACCTCTGGGGAAAGTGCTTTACAGTGCCCACACCTGTTACAAGCGAAAATCAAATGGAAATGCTTTTAATCAAATTTGAAAGAAGTCCAACCACTGCCATAAATTCACTAAAATAAGTATATGATAGTAGAAAACAAAGATGAAAGATGTGTTGCAGATTTGAGCAGAGTACATAGGATTAAATGTGATTTGAACATAGTGGCGGACATTAACAAAAAATATTTGGGTGATGAAGGTACACAAAAGTAAATAGGCACAAACGTATTTATCAAATTGCTAATATACTTGCTGCAATAGAAACAAAATATGTATAAATTCATCAAGCAATCAAATAAATGAAGAGGCTGCAGAGTCGGACCTGATGGGTGGCCCAAGAGGCCTCCGCCTCAGGCCCAGAATTTTGGGGGCCCATTTTTTACTTTTTATTTTTTATTTTATTTTATTTTTTTTGTTTTTTTCTTTAAACCCACTGTATTCATGTGTTCAAAAGAAACGAATAAATACTTTAATGAAAAGAGAAGAAATGAACATCAAAAAATTTATTTGTTGTTTTATTGTTGATTTAAGTTAACAAATTTAATTCCGTAAACTTCTAATTTTTTATTTTATTTTTTTTGTTTTTTTCTTTAAACCCACTATGTCCACGTGTTCAAAAGAAACGAATAAATACTTTAATGAAAAGAGAAGAAATGAACATCAAAAAATTTATTTGTTGTTTTATTGTTGATTTAAGTTAACAAATTTAATTCCGTAAACTTCTAATTTTTTATTTTATTTTTTTAAGAAAGTGATTGTTTGCTACAACTTAGGGCCTAGGGCCCAAGTTCCGAAGTTCGCCTCAGGCCCCGCGAAGCACAAATACGATCCTGGCTCACAGAATCTATATTCCTATTTCAAATTCGAAGAAAAATTGTAGAGTAATTGTCAATGTCCACAAGAAAGTTAAAGAGATAATTTCTAGAAAAATAAAACGTAAAAAATAGTCTCTTAAAAAAATAAAAATAAATAAAATCTCGGTAACGTGATTACAAAAATATCTGCAAATATTTGAATAACTTACCATTGACTTACAGTCAATAAACTTAGACAATTAACAAAATAGCCACTGCAAAACTTGTCATGCTCAAATTCCTATGCTGATGAGATCAAATGATTATATCTTTTCAATCCCACAAATATAAAGATGTCAAATTCTTCATAAGAAAAATAAAAAAAATGAAATTCTAAGAAAATTAACAGAATTCTGAATAACGCAATCAGAAATATATATATATATATAGGAACACACACATATATACACACGTGTACATCCGTACAGACACACAAGAGCAGGACTCAAATACACTTCTGCGAAGGTTAAGTCAAAATCAAATTCAGAAATTGATTTCTAGTCCAAATCAAAACCAGACGCGAACTAAGGTCATCTCCAACCCTGCACCAAATTTTACACCATTTTAAATCAAATTTTGTCCCAAATCTTACACCAAATTAAAATTCATCTCCAACCATTACACCAAAAATTACACCAAATGAACAGTATTTAACCATTTTCTTCCCTTTTTATTCTTAATAATCTACTTATTTGAAATATTATTTATTTAATTATTTCATAAATACATAGATTACTAAATAAATAATTACGTTAAATTACGGAAAAGATCAAATTCATTAATAAATATAAAAAATATAGAAAAATTAATAAAAATACAATTAATAAACATAGAACATAAATTGCTATTTAATATATTTCGTGTTAACTTTAATAAATAATCGTGTTTGATGTACTTTAAATTGTTTTCGTCTTTTAATTAATTAATTAATAATTATGTCTTACATTTAAAATTTATTTTAAACACAAATAATATTAGTATTAATAAAAAATAATAATAATTTATTGTATTAAAAAATATATAGCACAAATTACATAAATACCCTCAACAAATTTATTTGAGAAATATTAAATAAGAGCAAAACGGACATTTTACACTTTGCACCATTTTGATGAAAAATGGTGCAAAGTGAATAGTGTTATTTGGTGCAACACTATTCATTTTGCACCAAAATGGTGCAAAGTTTAGTGTTGGATTGGAGCAATTTTGCACTAAAAAATGGTGCAATGATGTTGTGGTTGGAGATGCCTTAATAATATAATATGTTTTGCTCTGTCAAACTAGAAAAACAAAACCAGCAAAAAAATAAATTTCTAATCTATCATATAAGATTACCGATATACATATATACATAGATACAGATGAGTATATATACCATGGGGCGTAAAATTCAACAACGATGAAGTCGTTCTTGGCCACAACTTCGGAGAAGTTGGAATGATCCAAAGTCAACACTTTCTTGCCTTCCTCAGCTACTACAGATACACTCAACAAGGCCGTAAGAGCCACAGTAAGTACCAAAATGGCACTCAAAACCAGAGTTTCCATCTCTACACTACAGACACACAGTCACACACACACTGTAAATGCAAATATCTCGTTCTTTCGCGTGAGTTGAGAATGAGGAAATGCAAGGGGAGTGTTGTCTATATTTAATATAAGTTTGCACATATATGTGCCACGTAGGCGTACTGATGATGTGGCGGGAATTTAATGGATGGAGGGACGTTGAGATTTGAAATTTCTTAGGTGTGACGTAACGGGCCATATATTTTATATTCAAGGAACTTAATTATTAGGAAAATATCATAAGTACGGGGTAATTGTTTACAGAATTATTACAGGTACTGCAGTGGCACCACGATTGGCAATTTTCTATTTTTCAACTACAAATGAAATCTTCACAAGTGTAATCTCGTAAAAATTCTGTCAAAAAATTTCTGTAAGTGAAGCATGGTTCTAATTACTATTTGTCCTAATTCGAGATTACGAGAATTAGATATACGGAATGTATTTTTCCATATTGTTATTATTTATTAATTTTGGACTATAAACGCAACTACCCTGTTTGGTTATGGATTTCAAGAAATATGTTTTATGAAAAGTAATTTTTTATAGAGAATATGGTTAAGAAATAGAAAAAAATTATAGAATACACATAATAAAATTATTTTATTGAAAAAAATGATTAAAAATAATTTTGAGGAAACCTAGTCTTATGAAATAGAGCCATGCTTGGTTTATAGCACTTTGTACACCAAGCGTGATAGTTATCTCACATGAGGGGGGCCCATGTTGACTGTATACTTAGAAAAACTCTATGAAACATGCCATGCTTGCATAAAATAAGAAGGTGGGCTTGTAGTGGAACCAATTATGCTTGGTGTACAATATTTTTTACAACATCGTTGACAACACGCCACGTGGCATGTTTTTATTGATCAGTTTAAAAAATAATTTATCTTTTCAACCAATACTTTTTGGACACATACAATATTGTCAACGATGTTATCGAAAAGCTTTTTACAAATGGCATTATCCGTAGTGGAACTGGAAAGTTATGTGTGAGTGGAATTAGGTTGATTTTGAGTGGGAAGATATTTAGATGTCTCATTTTCAATTTAGATATTTAGTGTTTTCAGCTAACCCAATTTCGATTTACCTGCAAATCTAATCGCTTTATCAACTAATAGTCTAATATCAGTTTAACTAATGAAATATGCAGATATTGACGTTAAAAATAATAAATAATTAACATTATTTCTAAAAAAAATATTTTATTTGTCCAAACCTATAAAAAGTTCCTACTATTAACAAGTTGGATTAATCTATTTGTACCAAATAAATTATCTAATGGTTTACCGAATTGACAAGTGACGGTCCCTTATTGGAGGGGTGGTTGTGGGGACAGTCGCCCCTCCAATAGGAGGCCGCCACTTGTCAATTGGGTAAACTATTAGATAAACCATTTGGTACTTGTAGCATAATCCACACGAGTTTGGGAAGGCCGTGCAGCAGCACCGCATTCGAGCATTAGGGTGCTACTGGAGGAGTCGTGGTCGTATAGACTCTACTCATTTAAAATCACAAGTGTACGGAATTAAAGACAAGTAATATAATGACAAGTTGAGTATCGTCCCACAATGATTATCGATTTTACCACAAATTCAAATGAGTTATGTTCTAACTAGGAAAGACAAAATTTCGAGTTTGGTTTGATTTTGATTAAAAACTACTAGATTATACTCGATCTTGGAGAAAATTCTATGTTATAATATTGTTAGTATTCCAACTCCGCCTATAATATTCACATCAATTCACAATTTCCTATATTTGACCAATACAAGTTTGAGTTGGTTAATTTTCCTACTTTTCTTAACAACCACTCTCGAATAAAATTAAACCTAATTTTACATATGAATTTCCTATACATCCATGAAAGGTAGAATACATAGAATTGCATTAAAATCTAGGATATTCAATTCAAAATCACATAAGGGATACAAGTATATCTCTATCCTCTATCAAACCTTATGTTGATTATTAATAGTTCATAGCCTAGTTCTGTCCTCTTGGAACGAAAACAAGATAACAAATCATCCAAATATTGATCAAGTATTTAAAAGCATTAAACCTATTAAAAAGAATCAATAATGAAATAGTTGAAATCTAAACGGGAATTTTCAAAGTATAAAATTAAAATACAGTTTATATTATCATTATGAAACAATAAATTTAACCAAAAATGATTGAATTGTGAAAATACAAAATCTGTGTAAAAAACACCACCTGTTAGTTTTGCAAAATATTGAAGATACGTTTGGTTTGATAATTTTGAAAATGTATTTTTGAAAACAAAGATATATTTATATCATAAAATTCAAAATACATTTTTGACATTTTAAGTGTTTTCAGTGAAAATTCTTAAAACACTCAAAGCATGAAAAACAAGCGTTTAAATAAAATTTTTAAAAATTAAAAATATGAAAACATGAAATTCTAACAAAAAATTTAAAAATATATAATTCTAAAAATAAAATTGATACATTCTAGAAAACAAAAAAAATTCGAAAAAAATATAATATTATAAAAAAAAATTAGTTCGAGGTCTTAATAATTATTTACACTAAAATTCTAAAAAAAAAAAAATTAATGAACATAGATAAAAATATTCTTAATCCATGTCATTAATATTTATGTTTATCTCTTACATATTTTGAACTCAATTTAGTATTTAATTTTATTTTACTTTTATAACGAGAAAAATATTATAAGATTCACCAACTTTATATATATATATCAAAATTCTGAGCTTTCAAAGGTTTGATCACTGTGATTTATTCTTTGCATTACCATGAGGGCAAAAACTATTACCACTACGTAAGCCCAAACGCTGAAATAAAATTCTATAAATTTCAAATTGAATAAAATAATCACTTTACCAAATAGTTACTCCAAGGCCCAACATTAACCAATTTCATAAAAAGCTATAAATTACTAACACACTAGTAGGAAAATTACTGGAGTGAAATAAACATAAATAGATAAACATCTCAATTTATTTAAACAAAAAAATAAACCAACGTCTTCATTGAATACTTATCTAATTCTAAAATCACTAACAATCCATTTCATAAGAAACCCACAAATCAGTAAAAGCAAAAATTCCACAAAATTAAGTCCCAAAATCCAATAAACCAAAAAAAAGGAAGAAGAACCTGAGGGAAATTTTCAATTTGAGCCCGACCTGTACCATCTTGGGCAGCAGAAGTGAGATGATTCCCCTCCATATCACATATGAAGTGATCATCTACATACGTCTACCAAGACATTTCAAATTCTCTCTATTTTTTGGCTGTTTAATTTGTAAAACAATGCTATTTTTCACTGCTAGGTCTGCATATTTTGAGTTTCTTTCTTCAATTTGAATCGAATTTTTTAGGTGGGGCTATGAATTTTCTGAAGTTAGCGTGGGATGATAAGTTTTGTTCAGCTCTAATACTTGTTGAGTTTTGGAACACAATAGAAAAATAGAATTTTATTAATGAAATAAATGTTACACAATTTTAGATACACACCAAAAATACTAACTAGACATACTAGGACATCTCACCAATTATTTTGCCAACTCACTTTCTCTCACTATGCACTACCTCTCTCCTATATTTCTCTCTATCTCTCTACCTCTCACCACTCTCACACTACATTGCTTATTTTATCCTCACACACTTGTATCTATATTTCCTTCACCAACTCTTCTCTCTCGTGACCACACGTGACACACACATACCCGCTACCTTTCTTTCAACTCTTTTTCACTCTTCTTTATTCCCACTCATAGACATATATATAGACATGCATGGTCGGTTGTTGAAGCTTCTTATATGTCAGTGGAATGTAGCTGCATCAATTCTAGAACCATCTTTCAATGGTGATGGCAAGAAGGGGCATCAAATTTTGAAAGAGTGAAGAGTGAAGGGAAGAAGAAGAGAAGCAGCCTAAGGAAGAATGAAGAAGAAGAAAGAGTGAAGAGCGAAGGATGAAAGGTTCAGGTTGCAGCAGAGATGCGAGCTGTGGAGGAAAATAATTTATTCATTTAATTGAAAAAAATAAAAATTTTGCCATAGAAACGAGGCCCCCTTCAGTTTTGGGCCTAAGGCGTAGGCCTCATCCACCTCGCCTCAGGACCAGCCAGGATACACATCATTTCAACATTAATTCTTATTATAAATTTTTTGGGAAATAAATTTTGAAATATTGATATTTTGGAGAAAGTGTGATTAAAGAGTAAGAAAAAAATTTTGGATTTACATGCCAAAATTTTATTGTGAGAATGTGTGATTAAAAATGAATTTGAGATAAAAAAATTTATTTTAATGATTGTAGAACATGGGCTTACTTGCGACTTATCATCATTGAAATAAGTAGTCATCAATGAGGAGCAACCACACAGTTGTAAAATAAACAGATACGGTATTTTTTTCAATCTTTTTTCTTATGGAAGAAGGCACTAATGCCTTTAAGTATTCACTTATTCTATTCAACATGGAATTGTCAGAGTAAAATTGTTGCTTTGACAAAAGTTGCATATTCAACCAGTGATTTCTCAAGGATGACTAATTATGCTAAAGTTCCATTAAAAAGCGTTTTCACGTGGTAGATCCTTCTTAGAGAGTATAAAGTTTTTATGAGCTCGATCTTTAGATGTCATCTATGCACAAATACCTTCATTTAATAGAATATTTTGATTTTGTTGACACGCTAAAAGTGCAGCCCAATTTGAATAGCCCAAAGAATGAAGCCTAAATGGGCAATTCAGGATAAAGGCCCAAATAGGGTTATTAATGAATGCAATGGAAGCCCACGAACGCTGTAATACTATCACCCAAACTTGCAAGACGCCCAAGATCTAAGCGAATGAAGTGCCTTGCAGTCGCCTAGAGTTATGACCCTGTTCTCGCCCAAACCTTCGAATCGCCCAGGATCTTAGCAAACATAAGATATTATGGTTATCCAAAAGTGCAGTTATTGAAGCAGTTATTGAGTAATCTTATCACGTTCCACGATTTAAGGAGTCCAGTTGAAGACGGTTGAACGACAAAGAGTAATGGCAGCATTTA